ACCTTCTGACGGCGTTTGGAGTCGTAGGCCGCCGATCCTCCGAAGATCATGAGGCAGCCATCCGGTGTTGGAAAGCCATCGTCCTTCTCCTCGGCGTCGTTCGCGGCAGGGGCAGGGTCCTTTCTGTGCTCCCCCTTGTTGGAGCCTCTAGACAAGAACCGCCACATGAGGCTGCAGTCCATGTATAGATGCTTGACCGAGAAAGCATGGTTCGGGCATGGCCCCTCGAGTAGTTTTTTCAAATGGTTCGGAGTGCCCTCCGCGGGCTTCCCACCACCCTTGCAGTCAGCAGCGGCCACGAGTGAGTCCTCGCAGTTGTTGCTTCTTATTCTTCCTTTTGGCAGAACGATTGGAGGTGCCTTCACCGGCGCCCTCGTCCCGCCTTGCCTTGCCATCGAGATGATCGAAGATCACCCCGACCACCTCTTCTCTGGAGGCGTGGCTTGTGGCGATGTCCAGGAATTCCTTGGTGGTTCACGGGCCCTTACGTCCCAGCTTATGAACCAAAGACTCGCAGGTAGCCCCGGACAGGAAAGCCCCTATAACGTCGACATCGGCAACATTAGGTAGCTCGTTGCACTGTCAGGAGAAACGCTGGATGTACCCATGGAGGGTTTCACCGGCCTTCTGTCGGTAGTTTTTGAGGTCCCATGGGTTCCTAGGGCGCTTGTATGTGCCCTGGAAGTTCCCCATAAAGATCTCCTTTAGGTCCGCCCAACTCTAAATTCTGTTGGGCGGCAGGTGTTCCAACCATGCTCGTGCCGAATCGGCCAAGAACAGTGGAAGGTTGCGCATAATGAAAACGTCATTATCCGCACCACCGGCTTAGCAGGCAAGCCGATTGTCTTTGAGCCATAGTCCAGGGTTTGTTTCCCCAGAGTACTTTGGAATGTTGGTTGGTGGCCAGTACCTTGGCGGGAAGGCAGCGTTGAGGATGTGCTGGGCAAAGGCCTGAGGGCCCGGTAGGCTGGGGCTCGGGCTCCGGTCCTCGCCGCTATCGTAGCGTCCACCGTGGTGAGGATGATAGCCGCGGCTGGTTCCTTCTCTCAGATCATCGTGGGTACGCCTACGAGCATCGAGAGCTATGTGCGTCGTGGTTACGGCCAAGACGCTGATGCACCGAGACCGCGGCATGATGCCTGCCTCCCTGTGGTGTCTGGTGGACCAACGTGTCCCTGCCGAGACGCTCGGAGAGCATGTGTTGGCTAGCATCGAGCTCGCGTTGCCGAGACAGCGAGCTCTCTGCCTGCTACGTCGCCACACGCTCAAGCAGCGTGCGAATCTCGTGGTGAGCCCGACGATCCTCGGGCGTCGTGGCCTCTGGAAGGCCATGGAGCAAGGCCATTGCGGTGGCGATGTTCTGGCTCGCTCGGGCGAAGCGAAGGAGGGCTTCATCATCGGCGATGATCCTTTGGTTCACGTCATAGGCCATGGCACGGGCGTGCCCACCATCTCCACGGCGTTCGATCTCCCGATCGAGCTCCGCGCATTCCTACACAAGATGGAGTAGTGCTTCCTCAGTCTCCCGATGTCGAGCCTTCAGCTGCTCCATCCCCATGTGAAGTGGGGCGGCTGTCTCCCCTTCGGCCTCGTCGTTGATGTTGTCCGCTGGGGTAGCCTCCTCCCTAGGTATGCTTTCGACATGCCCCTCGAGGTTACCCATCATGAAGCATTCCCAGGAGGGGTGATGGCTCCCCCTGCTAGAGTTAGAGCCAGAGGATGACCCTGGTTCCTCTACGAGGAGGTTGCGGAGAGATTTCGTGACGTGTTCGATCACCCCACAAACTCGTTGTTCGCGGGCAGCAGGACCATGTGTCGTGCCACAAGGTGGCTAACGGTTGCCGCAGCGTTGTGGAGACCGAACGGAAGCGCTGTGGGGGCGCTCCGTATGTGGTGTTCAGGAGAGAGGGATCCTCCTCCGGCGAACCATGCCATGTCGTTGGCGTCGAAAAGGGTGAGGCGGCGCTGGTCCTCCCTGGACTGCTGGGGTCCTAGGGAGGCACCGAGCTGGCGCTCAAGCCTCTCATAGTTGAGGCCGATGGAGGGGAGAGATTAGATGGCGGCGTGAGCCAATGCCAACTCTCCTCCCACTATGACGATGAAGTCTAGGTCACCGAAGCACACGTGTGCACCCGAGACCCAGCTGATTCCATGGCTAGCCATCCGTGGCCTGATGTTAACATCGGAACACGCAAAGGTCCCCTACCTGGCGTGCCAACTGTCGGTGTTTCGAGTAAACACCAACTAGTAAATTTGTATTATTACGTGTTAGGCCCGGATGGTGTGCTAAAAGACACAAGGTTTTTACTGGTTCAGGCAGAATGTCCCTATGTCTGGTTTGTGGCTATTGCTCGTGTTATTAGCACTAAAAGGTTCGTAGTAGGGGGTACAAACGGTTGAGAGAGGGACAGGTCTCAAGTCTCTGATGGAAAGGTGGAAAGGGCGCTGAGAGCTTGGTTGCTGCTCAGCTATGTGTTATGTGATGCGTGGTGTGTTGAATTGATCCGTCCCCTTAGTGGGGTGCCCTGCTTTCCTTTTTATAGGTCAAGGGGGAGCAGGGATTACAAAATAGGAGAAAGAAGAAGAACCAGAGGCCAAGAAGGTCCTTTAAAGATGCCGGGTCTTCCTTTTCCTCTGAGCCAGCCCCACTGACATGGTAAACAGTGCTACGGATAGCACGTTCGTTGATCCTGATAGGGCCATGCTCTGGCTTCGTTAAGCAAGTGGTCACGTCCCATCCCGCCCCTGTGGACGGCGCGAAGCACCAGGGTGCCGAGCCACGACCCTATGGGGAGCAGACGGCGTAGAGGCCCTAGGTTCGTAACTGTAGATGACATGAGTTTCCTCCCTGACTGTAGTGATTGTCATATGTTTCCGTTAGGATTCGTGTCTGAGGGCAAATGCCGACGCCCATAACACTTTAGGACAAATGTCAGTGTCCACAACACTATTTTGGCTCTAACACGCCTAGAAAGGGCCTAAAAGCACCCGTCTGGTCATATCCTGATGGTACTGTCTGACAGGCGTATAGGGTATGATCCTCGGTATTGCGGTTGACTTGAGTGCCCTGCCTCATCTGTGCACGTAGTTATGAAGGAACAACGCACAGACGTTGGGCGAGACGAAGCCTACCCTCAGACGTCGGGTGAGGCGGAGCCTGCCCCCGGACGTCGGGCGAGGCGGAGCCTACCCTCGGACGTCGAGCGAGGCGAAGCCTACCCTCGAACATCGGGCGAGGCGAAGCCTGCCCCCGGACATCGAGCGAGACGAAGTTTGTCCCCAGACATCGGGCGAGGTGGAGTCCTACCCTCGGAGGTCGGGCGAGGTAGAGCCAACCCTCAGGGGTCAGGCGAGGCGGAGCCAACCTTCGGTCGTTGGGCAAGAAGTGTGGTTGTGTTCTTGTCTGTTCGGAAGCATCAACGTTTGATGGTTATTAGCTCCTCCTCTTTGGGTACCCCAGTATTTGGTCCCCGACACTGCTCATCACACGCCCCGCCCGTGACGCTCGCTCCTGTCCGCGCCCGCGATGCTCGCTCCTGCCGGCGACACCCAATCCCCTTCCTCTACTACCTTTCTCCAGTGTAGGGGCGCCGTGCCACGGGCACCGCACCGCCTTCCCGCCGCGGTCTTCTCCAGCGTTGGGGGTCACCCGCCGGCCTCTACGCACTGCACCCGTCCACCCGCTGCACCCCCCACTTCGTGCCAGCGCCGATCTCCGCACCGCATCGAGCTCTGCGAGCCGACGAGCCTCCATTCGTCCAAACAACAAGGTGACATTGTGTTGAAAGCGTATGTTGCTAGAGTATGTTTAAAGTGTTTCAAATATTTCAGAGGTATGTTGCAAGTGTTTTATATTGATGTTGCAAAGTAGATCGGGATCTTGTACATATTGCAATGGCTATACACGTATGTTTCAAGTGTGTGTTCCAAATGTTTTATCTGTTTCAACGTATGTTACAAGTGTTTCATTTGGATGTTGCAAAAGTAGATATGCATGTTGCATATATAAGCAAATGTTTCATGTGTTTTCATATGTATGTTGCAAATGTTTGATCCGAATGTTTGCAATGTCTACACACATGTTTTCAAGTTTTTTTGGTGTCTTTAATTTGCAAGTGTTTCAACTATTTTAGACATATGTTGCAAGTGTTTCATCTGGATGTTGAAAAAGTAGATCGGACGTTGCACATGTTGCAATGGCACCCACCTGCCGCAGCCGCCTGCTGCAGCTGCTGGGGCACCACCATAGGTCACCGTGTGGGCGCTTGAGGCCGGCAGACGCATCCGTGGCGTGGCATCCACGGGCGGGGGTAGGTGACTGGGATCCACATGGGTCTAGGTAGTGGGGCACGCCAACACAGACAGCGTGGGCTTCTTTCGCGTGCGGAACGGCCTCCCGCGCGAAGGACTGGAGACGTCCGATATTTGGGACCGCTCCGGACGTCCGGACACCCTATTACTAAGGGCTTGTTTGGTTGTGAGCCAGTAAAACCTCTCTAGCCCAAAAGCCCAAGCATCTGGTTTTGAACGCTCAGGGCTAGGAGTAATGCTTGGGTGCAGAGTTGCTTGTCAAGGTCTATAGCTCACATTAACATTTTCCCAAGTCAAATTTCTCTAATTTTGATCACATTTATTAAAAAATACATCAATATCTATAAATACAAACATGTTTTGGCAACGCATTTCTTTGAATTCGTAGATGTTAATATATTTTTCTAAAAACTTAGTCACATTCAGAAAAGTTTGACTTAGGATAAAATTAAAGTGATTTATAATTTATTGGAAGGGGTGGAGTAACTACTGAATGATCTCTACTTTCTCTATTCATAAATTTTCTGAATTTCGCCTCACCTTTTTTTCACGAACGGGTGTGTACTCGTATTTCATTAAGGAGAAGAGAAAATTTACACAACATGACAATATCCAGCTGTTTCAAGCTCGCTGGCAAGACACTAGCGTGCAAGACCAACCAGAAATGTCGACGGACTATACGGCTCGCCTCAACTATATTCTATTTCATGTAAAACAATAGCAAACCGTTGGAACTCAGAAGAAGACTACTCATGTGACTTCCTCAGCTATCTGATATTCTGATGTAGCTTGCTTCCTAGGAGTAACACTGTTGTCAACATGTACAGTCTGATTTCTAAGGGCTCGTTTAGATGCTGAAAATTTTGGCAAAATGTACTGTAGCTATTTTCGTTTATTTGGCAATTAGTGTCTAGTCATAGTCTAATTAGGCTTAAAAGATTCGTCTCGTGAATTTCGTCTAAACTGTGTAATTAGTTTTATTTTTTATTTATATTTAATGCTTCATGCATGCGTCAAAGATTCGATGTGACGGGAAATCTTGAAAATTTTGATATTTTGGGAGAAAACTAAACGGTACCTAAGTGTGTTAGCGTCCATCAGAACTAAGGGCCTGTTTAGTTGGTAAATTTTTTTGGTTTTGGATACTGTAGTATTTTCGTTTGTATTTGGTAATTAGTGTCTAATTATGGACTAATTAGGTTTGAAAGTTTCGTCTCACGATTTCTCATCCAACTGTGTAATTAGTTTTTTTTTCGTCTATATTTAGTACTCCATACATGTGCCGCAAGATTCGATGTGATGAATACTGTGTAAAAATTTTTTGGCTTTTGGTGAAACTAAACAGGCCCTAACCAGAGATGATGGATACCGGACTACTTACGACATGCTCTTCTGACACCCACGCGAGCTGCGCCCCCAAAATTTCAGACTCCAACGCGCTTCCTGGAGCCCTTTCCATGGTGACGACAAAACTCGCCTTTTGGTTCACCTCGTCGAACTGCAGTTCTCCGGGAACCACCGTGATGGAGACCCCGTCCGGTGCACTCACGTCCACCCGGTACACCGACCTGGCCGGTCCGACGTTGGTCACCGTCCGTCTAACCGTCACGGCCTGCCCGTCCTCCGTCAGCGCGACCATGATCGACGGGGTGTCGAGATCTTTCGCCTCGGTGTTCTCCATCTCGGCGCAATGGACCGCGGGCGCAGGGTAGATGATGCGGTTCACTTGCTCGTCGGTGTAGCCCAGCCCGCAGAGGTAAGGGATGTACTCTTCCGGCGAGGTGTCATAGACGAGGCCCGGGTCGATGGCTTTGGCCGCGTCGACGAGGCCGGCGCCCATGGCGAAGTAGCTCGTCGGCGTGCCTGTCTCGTCCATCAGCGACGCGTCGGCCGTGGTCATTATCGCGGACTTGATGGCCGCGGGGGACCAGGTCGGGTGGGCGCTCTTTATCAGCGCCGCGACCCCGCTGAGATGCGGCGCCGCCATGGACGTTCCGGAGAGCGACGCGAAGCTTGGGCCGCGCGCCGACCGTGGCACCGCCGCGAGGATGTCGACACCGGGACCCACGATGTCCGGCTTCAGCACGCCGCCGTTGTTGCGGCTCGGCCCCCGCGAGGAGAACGCCGGGATGGTAGCGGAACGAGGAGTGCCCTGCTGTGAGCTAGCGCCGACCGTGAGTATCCACGGCGCGTCGTTTGCGACCGACCCAGGCGTGGGCCCCTTGTTGCCCGCCGCGGCGCAGACGAAGACGCCCCTCATGACAGCCGAGAACGTGGCCGCAGCGACCGGGTCCTCGTGGAAGCCGAGACCGTCGTCGTCCCCGAGCGACAGCGAGAGCACGTCGACGCCGTCGGCAAGCGCCGCCTCGACGGCGTGCACGACCGAGCCCCTCGAGCACCCGCGCGCCGCGCCCGCGCACACCTGGTAGAACGCGAGGTGCGCGCGCGGCGCCACGCCGGACACCACCACCACGGGGGCGGTGCCAGGCGTGCTGCCGGCGCCGCCGCCCACTCGGCGCACGAACGCGCCGGCCGCGACGCTGGACGCGTGCGTCCCGTGCGTGCCCGCCCTCGGCGCCGTGCCGGGTCGGCGCAGGTGCCGCGTGAAGTCCCTCGCGCCGATGAGCTTGTTGGTGCACGACGCGACGCCAGCGTGCTTTCACCGGCCCCGCCACCTGGCGGGAGGCGGCGGCATCCCCTCGTCGCCGAACGACGGGTGGCCCGCGTCGATGCCGTCGTCGAGCACCCCGATGAGGACGCCTTCGCCCATGTTGCTCGTGTCCCACACCGCTTCGTGCTGGCCGCCTTGCAGCCGCGGCAGCGTCAGGGTGTCGTCGTCGTCGTGCAACGCGGCTGCCGCGCGCAGCAGCTCGGAGGAGAGCACGAGCAGGAGAGCGATCTTTGAGGAATCCATTTGAGATGGAGAGTGTGCAATTCACAAGGCCGCTGGAATGGACGTGGAGATTCATGTGGGGAAGGAAGGAGAAGGAGCAGACAGATATACGTGCCGAGGCAGTTCGGTGGCGAACATGCGTTGCCACTCCTGGGCTAAACTGAGCTGGTCAAGGAGTTGAGCTCGTAGGTTGTTCAGTTGAAGAAGTTTGACTGTTTGAGCAGGTAGGTCCAGTTCATCGTTAGCCCGCTGAAGCCCAGTTGAAACTCTGCTTCAACGTTCTGTGCGGTTGGCAGTTGGAACTGGACTGGGCCATTTATGGAAACGGCGTAATCAGACGAACTCGTGCCGCCGGAACCGATTAAGCAGGTAGGAATGCCTGTCTCTCGTGGAAATGTTTTTCGTGTCTCCAGAAATAGGGGGAGAAAAACCGTCCATTTCACGCTTGTGCTGTTCTGAAACACCAATGCGCGCGGCGCCACGAATGTTACATCACGAATCGAGATAAAAATGCAATTTTGCGTCTATGTTGTTGTGCGCCGAAGAGAATTTGATGTGGTTCTGCGTCGAGTCCATGACGGTTGAGCATCCACTTGTAGCAGTAGCTGGGCTCTCATTGCAACGAGCCCTTGTTGCGAAACGAGCACGGGCCACACGCCCGGCACGGCACAGTCGCACAGATCTCTCCCACACGCAGGAGCCACGCCACGCGACGGACGGCTCAACGCTGGCATCCTCCCTGGCGGGCGCGAGGACTGGTAGCCGGCGACGCCGTGCGCGTTGCGCCCACTCGGACACGCTCCCCGCGGTGGGGAGGTAGCAGGACGGGACCCGAAGGCGGCAGCGATGGAGGACGCGTGCGGCCGCACGACCGCGCCCGTCACGTCCTCCTGGGGCAGGTTCGCCGTGGCGGTGCTGTGGCGCAGGCTCAGGCGCATGACCTGGCCCCGCCGGCGCTACCGAACGTACGTCCTCGGCGCCGGCGGCCTCAACTACGACCCGCTCAGCTACTACCAGAACTTCGACGACGGCAAAGTCTGCGAGTGCGAGCCCGACTTCATGGCCAGGTACGCCCTCGCGCAGCTCGCCGGCTTGCCGGGGCAGGCGGAGGCACCATCGAATCCTTCGCCCCGGCCGGCGCAAGTCTCCGGCATGAAGAGCCATGGGGGCAAGGGGCAGCCGAAGAGCCTCGCAGCCGCCTTCCTTGCATTCGCGCGGACTTCCGTCGGCGGCGAGGATGCGAGATGAAGTAGGCGGCGAGGATATGGGTTACATGTACAATTTTAACTCAGTATGTACACATGTACCTACACCTACATGGCTACACGAAGTATGTACCTACTAACCTATACTACACGAAGTACCATCATGAGACTAAACTATCGCCTACATATAAATACAAAACTGCCTCCCAAGTTGCTTAGTGCCAGATTCCCCGGGCCAAGCATGCATATACATGTGGATACTGAGCAAACAGGATACAAAACTGGCCATTGTTTCTATATATAAATATAAACGAAACTAAAATACAAAACTAGGTTTCCCGAAGCCCGAAGGGAAACCAATGACCTTTACCTTTTTACTGATAATAGTACAAAATTTTCTATCGCCTAGCTCGATCTGAGATTACCCAAAAGATGTACTGTATTCTGCAATCCTAATACACAACTTTGTTAACAGCACCCAAAAATTGGATTCTGCGGTAACTTCAACTAAAGCCCTCACAAGTCAGACTATCCCAGATCCGCATACCGATACCAGTTCTGTACTTGCAGTGTTGCTGCGCCATCTTCTCATTTCACGATCAAAAGCTCCTCGCAGGAACCTCTTTTTCGGGTTCAGGAAACATCAATGTATTGAGAAACTCATAGGACGTAAAGAATATAGCACCTTGAGACATATACATAGCCAGCCTTGGAGTCAAACCCCTGTGAGAAAACATGTCACTTGATAATTTGCGTACTTACAATAGGGTCTTTTTCAGACAGGAATGAATAATAATTGAAATTAACTAGCTTGGTATGCCTCTGGCAAATTTTTGTACCTGTAAAGACCACACAAACCTTCATGCCGAAAAATTTCTTTTAGTGCATGAACAACCCCATCATACTTGCTAACAGGGCTGAGTGCCTGATTAACAGAAAGAAAGCTGAAGTATTAGCTCTGCTGGGAACATTAGTCTGTCGTTGAACATTCGCTGGTTGTCCATGATTTATAATTCTATTATAAAAATAGTCAACAATATACGATAAATGTCACAACTAGAAGTCAATATGGCAGATGCACATGTCACAGTACCTGTAATTGCACTCGTGTCTTGACAACATCAAATGGAGTCGTACAGAGAGCAGCAGTTGACCCAGCAAAACCTCCGCATAAAAGCTGCAATGAACCAAAGCGGTGCAAGGTTGGTTTTATCTGTTGTATTTGAGATGCTAGGAGAGGTCAATCATCATTTTTTCTCTTCGAAGCATTGGCAAACAATGCAGGATAGTATTAGAAGTGCCCATGGGTTCTACACTTCTTCTTCAGGTCGATAGGTGGGTATAAGAATGAATGAATGATGCTTTAACAAGGTAAGGTACCGAGGTTAAAAAACTAACCGTTTGGCCAGAATTGAGTTTGGCACTATCAGGTGCTGATTTCAACAGAGACTGCTTCAGACTCTCATAGGCATAAAACTACAAAATTCAGAACAGGGATCATGTTCTTTAAACACCAGAAACAAATTATCAAATTAAAGAAAATTTTGAATTATTGGACTTGAATGCAAGTACTTCAATTTTGATACCTTTACTATGGAATGTGGGATATTTCTACAAAGAACAGCACCCCATCCAGCATATAATGAAGCAATGCCACCCTTTTTGAGACATCCTACTAAAGCATTCCTGATGGCATGAAACTCTTATTAGAGGACGATGAAAATACGACATCCTACTGAAGCATTCGTTTGAAGATATCCTACTCAAGCATTAATCATGACATGAAACTAGTAGATTTGTGTCTATCTTGCTATTTGTTATGCTAGAAAATGAAGCTTTTAAATACAGGAAATAAACGAATGAACAACCCAAAAAGAGGCAAGGAAAATCCGAAATTGAATACCAGCAGTTCTGATAATGGGAACCCACTTGCATTTGTTGTTTTATGCATTCACTGGGTGTAAAAACAAAGGATGTTGCAATACTAGAACAGCCACCGGCAGCACAATGTGCAATTGAATGATATTCCTGTAGAGATCTCCATGTAACAGCACATAGAAGATTGAAGGATATACCATGTAAAGACGACAAAAATTTCAGCATAAAAACTAAACTGAAATTACCTTTGGAAAAACAGGCAGAAGAGCCCCCTTTACTGTTTCATAAGTTAAGGTATAAATTGCAGAAATTGGTGCAGAACAAGCAAGTTTGCTAGCAAGTCCTCCATATAGCCCCAGAACACCTTTACTAATCATCAAGCACTAAATTAATATAGGAAATTATAGTTCTCAAAGGGTAGCAATAATTGGAAATTGGAAATTTAGGTTGTGGAATTGCTCTCATTGCACGTTACCTCTCTCAACAAGGGTGCGCCTTAGTGTATGGTAGACTGAACTTTGTCCACAACTGTTAGCCTGAATTATTGTTTTCACAGTATCAATTGGATGCAAAGAAGCACTGACTGCTGTCCCAGCTAATGCTCCTGCCACAGCATGCCTGTTTACGGTAACAGCACCATCAAATCGATGCTGAAAAGTTGGTTGGAGCTCTTGTGAACACTGGTCTACAGAAAGCCGCAGACACACATCATCCCTACAAGCACATTCATCTGCATTTGCTGAATTAAGAACAGCAGCATCACCCACCAGACAAGACATGTGTTCTGATTCGTCAAGCTGAACATCTGTGCATGCCTTACTGACAACTTGATTCCCTGGCATTATCCTCACATCTTTGGCAATTTCCAATTCGTGAACTGGGCAAGCTAAAAAATTCGAATCTTCTTGAAAATTTTGTAGATTGCACTCAGTATTGTGTCCAGAACTTTCACAATCATGTGTACTGCTAGATTCTTCATTTGAGATAGTAAATAGCTCATTAGGCGTGCTTCTTGTTTGATTCGAATAGCTATCGTCCCTAATGTCCATATTGTTGGAACCAGCACAAGTTTCCTCACACATGCTTCTTTTGCTACTCTGAGAAGTCCCAATTTTTTCCATCTTTTCGGTTTGCATAGAGTATATAGTTCCAAATTGCAAATAATGTGCACCTCCAACCTTATTTGAGGAATGCATATGCCTCCATGTGGATGATGCACCAACAACACTACCGAATGGTGTCAGCGTTAACATCTTCTTCTTTACCGAGATAAGATCCTCATAAATTTCTTTTGGTGTAGACAAGCAGTTTTGAGATCTCGGACCACTTGAGCTTTCCACACAGCAAGGTGTCAGTATATTTCCTTGTTGATCCCTGCTAAAGCACACAGGGTCTTCCCTACTCGAAGTCCCATGAATATCAGATCTTTGAGTTGTGCCAGATGATTCAGGCTGGCCAACAAGATTCCAAATTCCAGTCAATGCAGATACAAACTGGGGAGTGGTCAATCTTCTGTAAGCATGTGTTCTGCAAGATTGCGAGCTTTGCCTTGATTGATGATTGGCATCTCGCTCCTTAGTAATCAAAGCATCCGGCTCAAATAAGTGGTGCTCATCTAATGAAAACCTGTGGTAATTGATTGTTGACTTTGCCGCTTTTGAAGCCCGGCGTGTCGAGTTCATCTTTTACTAGCTAGGTAGTAAGTATACCCAAGAAAAAAAAAGAAAATGTCCAACCAATCAGCTGCTTGAGATCTGCAGGAAGCAATAATGAACAGAGTATTTAGCTCACTGAAGTAGTTCTCTAGAAGCATAGTCATTTGAATGGCTACCAAACAGAGAATATAGCTAGCACGTAGTATCCGACAGTAGCACCCTACCCTAGTAAGACCGAATCTCAGAGCATCAGCAATCTACAAAAACAACCGAGCAAGCAGAAGCAATCCAGTTGCTGGAATAGGATGAACAGGATCTGAAGGCTCAGATAAATAGAGAAAAGTTCACGGAAACTGCGAATCCCAGCTACTCTGTTATTCGGGGCATTTCTCCGAACACCCCATGTGCGCGAGACGAAGAACAAGCTCCCAGTCCATGAGCGTCTTATCCCCCGGCATACGCGAGCTACCAATATTATCCGATTCGATACGAGTGGGCACTCGAACACGTGCGACCATTCGAGTTGGGATCGGAGGGTGCTTACCTCGATATGACAGCGAGCGAGCTCCTGTCGGTCGCGGGCCGCGCTTCACGGGGGGCGAGGAGGAGAAGGGCCGCGCTCTGCTTCTCCTCTTCCCCTCCTACTCTAATGGCAGAGAGGTTTATGCCGCCGTGGGAGCCTGGTCTCGCGTCCGCAGCATCTCCATCTCCATGTCGCTTCTTGCTCTGCTGTTCTCCAGCTCTTTCGAGGAATCGAGGGCTACCTTCCGCGCGGGACTCATTGCTGCTGCGGTCGATTTTTCAGGTGAATTTGGTGCGAGAAAAAAAACACCGTTTCATAGAAAAAATGCGCTGTTCGTTTTGCTGGGTGAAAGGATAGTTGGCTAAAATACTGTTGGTTGAAAAATATAGTTTATAAGTTAAGTGAATAGAAAAAAAATAATAGAGCTGATTATATAGCTTACCAGGAACATAGCCGAGGCCGGCGGCGCAGTCGGTGGGTCAGGGTCCCTCCGTTTGTGTTCAGTTCTTCCCTGCAGGTCCCAAGCACGTGCTTGCGGTAACATCGACGGCTTAGGACTCAGGTCCTAAATAGTAGAGAAATGCCATCCAACCTTCCATGTTGGAACACTCTTTCTCTCTCTTTTTTCTCACCCTCTCTTCTTCTCCATCTGCGTCGGGTTTAGAAGAATCTTTTTTGAAGGCAGCCAAGCTAGGTGGTGGGAACGGAGAGACGGCGGCGAGGCAGAGGCGACGGTGACACCATCTGACAATGGGCGGACGGGCCAGGTCACGGCGAGGATAGGGGGAAGGGAAGAAAAAGGTTGCCGCAGGCGTGGAGACGGTGGGCAGCGGCGACAGCACGAAGGAGAAAGAAGCTAGTACAAAAAAATAACAATCGGGTGTCAGGAGATCTAAGGCCCCGTTTAGTTTGAACCCAAAAACCAAAAATTTTCAAGATTTCCCGTCACATCAAATCTTGCGGCATATGCATGGAGTACTAAATGTAGACGAAAAAAAAAACTAATTACACAGTTAGCCGAGAAATTGTGAGACGAATCTTTTAAGCCTAAATAGTCCATAATTGGATAATTTTTACCAAATAAAAACGAAAGTGCTACAGTAGCCAAAAACCAAAAATTTTCGGAACTAAACACGCCCTAATTTCATTTCCACGGTCGTTTGCGCGATTCGACCCGATGAATGAGAGACCACGTCTGCGTGGACTCATAACGTTCCTTTTTCGTCCCTTTCCTTTCCTATCCTTTTATTTACTCGTTCTCAAGTATATTATCCTCGCAACATGCGGATATATTCTGTGCATGCGGGTGTATGCTGATCGGATTCGTTCAGTGGCAGGGGGACACCTACACGAACATTTCTTTCTTCATTTTTTGTTTTTTTTTCTTTCTACCATTTTTTATTTTTTTTACATATTTATAAATTATACTACATAATTATTTTCATACATAGTTTCATATTTCTGCTAATATATTATGATATTAATTTGTACATCTAAGATATTGAATATAACTTATACGTTCAACTTTACATCTAAGCCATTCATCAAGTTATATATCTAAGTTATAGAAACAAGTTATTATAATATAAGTTATTGATGTTAATTAACTTGTACATATAAGTTTATTCATCTAATTTATAAGTTATACAAATAAATTATTATAATATAAATTATCAATGTTGACTTTTAATATAAGTTTTCATTTAACTTTTACAAGAATACCATCTAACTTATAAAAAGTATATTTTATTTAATTACCACCACTCAATTGGGTGCGTAATAAAAAAGGGAGCAAATCAACCGAGCATGTGCATGCGTCAAAGAAGCAAATCAATATAAACGAACCTACATGTTTACGTTCCTTTCTGTGCGTGGGAAAAGGAAAAGAAAGGTGAGGAATTCTTTTTTCTGGAAAAGGAAATTGGTGCATATGTTGGATTATTGATCGCTGGAAATGAATCGGGTGACCGTTCGCGATTTAGTCCGCTCGGTAGGGAGAGCTCAAAACGCTCGAATGTTGTATAGACAGTTTCAAATCGTATCGTAAATTCGTAATAGCGCAAAAAGTATTTTTACCGTTTGACCCAGAGAGATGTTTTAGAAATCAAGAGCCCGTTCCTGTTCGATCGTGGATTATAAGTCGGAAACAATCGAAAATTACTATTTCAGCGTAATCCGGTTGATTATAAGTCGAAAATAGATCCATTCCCGATGCTGATTACTGAATGAGATTAGCATATGGATGAAAACGGTGCGGATATTTATTCGATGAAAACAAAAAACACTTATCTATAGTTCAACTTTTAATCCAAAAACGGATATCTTAGTATCAATTACGGAAATATCATCGATATCCGCGGATAGGCTGCAAATAGATCCATTCCCCGATGCCTGATTACTGAATGAGATTTTAAAATCACAAATTTGCCATCCAAACTTCTCAAATGGAAAGTTCCTATTTTTAGATCTTGAATTGAATTTCTATTCTTTGAAGTCATTTTGAGTTCATAATACTAGAGTCACATGTTTTATATCTGACCAAATTTGACTGTCATACCTGTCAAATGAACAAGATGCCTCAGTGAAAAAACATATTTTCTCAAGAAAATCAAAATTGTTACATAGCTCATTTTCTTTTGAGAAAGTTTTATTGAAATTCAACCTTTTTGGTACACACTAGATGGTTCACTTTCTCAAATGAAAAAATGGCCTATATAAGGTCTTGATGAGATGAACAAATTTGGTACTTTTTCAATTTGAGACAATCTAGGGTTCAAAAAACTAGTTTGTAAAAAATTTAAAAATCACAAATTTGAACCGTCAAACTATCTCAAATGGAAAGTTGATAAAACAAAAATTGTATATCTTGATGAGTTGAACAAACTTGGTATTCAAAACTTTTCAATTTGAAGTCATTTAGAGTTCATAATACTAGAGTCAAAATTTGACCAAATTTGACTTGGTCAAACTTGCTCAAATGAGACACTAAATGACCTCAGATGAAAAAACTCACCAAGTTTGATCATCTCACAAATACAATTATAGCTCATTTTCCCATTTAAGAAAGTTTTATCAAACACTAGCACAAATTCTTGAATCTCATATAGACTTTGTGAAACTACCACATGTGAAATTTGAACTCATTTTGTTTAAACTTTCTCAAATGAAAAAATAGCTTATATAGGGAATATTTGATGAGCTGAACAAACTTGGTATTCAAAACTTTTCAATTTGAGACAATCTAGGGTTCAAAACTAGTTTGTAGTCATAAATTTAAAACTCACAAATTTGAACCGTCAAAACTATCTCAAATGAGATAGAGAGTAAATTTGTAGATCTTGATGAACAAACTTGGTATTCAAAACTTTTCAATTTGAAGTCATTTAGAGTTCATAATACTAGAGTCAAAGTACATTTTTTTTCATTTGACCAAATTTGACTTGGTCAAACTTGCTCAAATGAGACACTAAATGACCTCAGATGAAAAAACTCTGAATACCAAGTTTGATCATCTCAGCAAGATCTATACTAGCTTATTTTCCTATTTGAGAAAGTTTTATCAAACACTAGTCACAAATTCTTAAATCTCATACAGACTTTGTGAAACTATGTCACACACTTGTGAAATTTGAACTACATTTTGTTTGAACTTTCTCAAAATGAAAAATGGCTATATAAGGATTGTAGATCTTGAATCCATGACCATGACTTCATGAGACCCATGAAGCAATGTGCTTGGCTATTTCTACTCATCTTGTAAAGATTGGTTCTTATATGATGTATGATGTATCGATGCTTATCTTATTTGTTGCTTTATCTTTTGTCTTGATTGATCTCTCTCTTCATAGAGTGGTGTAATGGTCTTATATTTATATATATATATATATATAGATATATATATATATATATATATATATATATATATATATATATATATATATATATATATATATATATATATATATATATATATATCTTTTACTCAATATCCGAATAGATATTTGTATCCTCCTCTCCGAATCCGATTCATACCGTATGGGTCCTCATTATTCGACCAGAATCGAGTCAATCCAGATCATGTATCCGGCGGTCCGTGTCCGAATCCGAATCCGAACAGAAATATGAAAACAAATATAATATGAGTGATATCCGTTCGTATCCGATCCGTTTTCATCCAGCAGCTATTGTTCCTCTCCTATTTTTGCTGAATGAATTTCTTTCTTTTATTTTGTGTATGTGCACATGTTTTATATCTGTGCTGCATGCCTGTCAACTGAACAAGATGCCCGTCATATTTTCTCAAGAAAACAAAACCTTACTCCGTCCTTGGTATTGAAATCAACCTTTTTGGTACACATAGATGGCACCAGGCTAAGGCCCTGTTTAAATTCAGGGTGTCACATCAGGTGTTATATGGAGGTGTTGTATGGGATGTTTAGATACTAATAAAAAAATAAATTACAGAATCCGTCAGTAATCCACGAGACAAATTTATTAAGCCTAATTAATCCGTTATTAGCACATGTGTGTACTGTAGCACCACATTGTCAAATCATAAATTAATTAGGCTTAAAGGATTTGCCTCGCAAATTAGTCACAAACTATGCAATTAGCCATTTTTAGTCTATATTTAATACTCCAAGCATGTGTCAAACATTTGATGAGATAGAGAGTAAATTTTAGGGAGAGAAACTAAACAAGGTGTCGTTGGATTGCTCGATGCTTCTACTGCTCGATCTATTGGTTGATTGATCTCTCTCTTGAATGGTGCACTGACTTTCCTTTTATAGACCAAGCGGAGAGAACAAGATATCGCCTCCACGAAGTAAGTGGTTGAAGCGGTTCTGGAGGTCCCATCCTCTCTTGAGTGGGTCCCGCCGACCATGCTGGCGGTGGTTTGCGGTCCTCGCTAGCAAATCGATCCCATCCGAGAATCAATGGGAAGCGGAAATCTAGCGGCCATGGGTGCCGGTGAGACGAAATCCGATCGATCGTCGAGGACGGTGGTCGGGAGAGTTGGCCCTATCCCGTGGAACCGGACGAGCGACGAGAGTCTCGCGCCCTCGCATCGGACGGAGGCTTCTGCAGTCGCAACCCACGCCTTGGTTGGTTCGGGTCCCACCACAGGCCACCGCTTTGTTTTGTCGTAGCAAATCCGACCCAGGAGGGAACAATCGAGGCGGAAATCTCGCCCTAGGTGCCGGGTGAGACGAAATCCAACCCTCGAGGGTCGGATGAGGGGGAGCCCTATCCCCGTGGAACCGGACGAGTCGGAGTCCGCGCCCTAGGGTCGGAGGAGTCGCAACCCACGCCTTGGGGTCGGACGAGACGGAAACCTCGTCATCGGAGTCGGAGCCCACGCTTGGGGTCGGACGAGGCGTGGCCCGGCCCCTGGGGGTCGGACGAAGCCGCAGTTACGTCCTTAATCATCGGATGAGTCGACGTGACGCTCATTAATCCTTTGACACGGATAACCGGGTATAGATATCGGACACCAGGCCTATAGCATTTGTCAGCCCTATATTAATAAATCCAAAAACCGTATTGACCCACAGTAGTTCAATCTGCCACCGCCAGTCCGCCACAAACAAATGCGAGACCACCCGCCATAAGCAAACGTGGAGCACTGGAGCCTCATAATTTTTGCATCTTCACGGCATACCATGTGTCCATGTCACAAACACTTGACGAACATCTATCTCAGTATCTCACAGCGCCGGGTTTTCAGTCTTCACACCTCTTTCTCGGCGCTTGTCCATGGTTCCATGCCCAGCGACTGCAGAAGAAGAAGAACCTCCTCCACGGGATGCTCGGCAGCGCGAAGTTGAGAAACAGCCCGTACCCGGCGGCGCTCGTCTGCTTCGTCGTCGGCGCAGGGCACCGCACGCAGTCTCTCGACTGCTCCAGGCTAACCTGCATTTTATTTGTCGCGATGGACGAGTTCAGGTGCCGTATCACATCGATGGGGGTGAAAACTGAAAGTCAAACGAGTGTACTCATCGTGTGCGTTCGTGCTTACGCTGGAGATGAACTTGAGGCCCAGCTTGAGCACGCCCTTGTACGTGCCGTCCTCGAGCACGATGTTGTACGCCGCCGGCTTCATCTGCAGGAACTCCAGCTCGCTGCCCTCGCTGATGATCTCGCCGACGTACACCCTGCAAATTAAGCGTCAACGTGTTCCTGAGCGATGTTTATGTATACGCAGTTGTTGCAAGCGGTCGAGAATTCCTAGCTCGTCGTCGTGTTAGCTGTGTGCTCGACTGCTCGGCGTACCTGGTTTCGCCGACGGCGGTCTCTTCTGTGAATTTGTCCATCTCCATGATCGTCAGCGTCACCTTCTCCAGCTCCTTGCGTTCGGCGTCTGACAGCGCGAGCCTGAACTTCTCGTTCCACCAAATCTTTTTACCCCTACCTGCAGGAAATCACCATTGCCAGCTCTAAGAGAACTCATCAGGCATTCTACTGTTTTTTGGGGGGCAAGTAAAAATGCATGCCAACTAGAATTTCGAGTAAGACACCTAATTTATATTATCATCAAAGGAATTAGTTCATACCTTGTGTGATTTTGCTCGTCACAATTTTGTCCCCGCACTCAATGGTCACATAATGTCTTTTTGATCCTGGAAACAAGAAGATCAGCTGCGCGATGAGTCTAATAATGATGTGCTCATAAGAAATTCAGCTTCTGAATCTGAAAACTGCAGGGTGGTTGTTATCACAGACGTCGCGGGTGATGATGAGCATGCTTGAGGCCCTCGGCGCTGACCAAAAGAAGTTCCAAGACGCCCTCCCTAGGCTCCATGGAGAAAAGAAGGGGCCAGAAAGAACAGAATGGAACAAACTGAGATTTATAGTTGCACGCTCAGGAGAGTTACCCCTGAAACTCCTACGAGCAATCAAACACGTTTAACAGCGCCAGGAGTTTCAACAGCGTGAAACGCTTTAGTCATTACTCATACGGCCCTGTTCAGCTTGCTGAATTTTGGCTGAAACTAGTTGAAAAACACGGTTCTGATTGAATTATTGTGAGAGAATAACACTATTCCAGCTGAAAAAAAAAGAGTCGAACATATTGGCTTCTGGGCAAGCCGAACAGGGTCTAAACCTCACCTGTGCAGGTCCATGGTCGTCAAACGATGTAGAGGCTGGAACCTCGTTCCATTATCTAAAAATTAACGTACTAAACCTACACCGCAGGGAGAAGATGCCACTTGACACTTGGCTTCGTCTTTGAGGGGATGATAATCAAACCCTGAGTAGCTAGGTAACTTGTTCTCATTAAGGACCCACGCGCGGCACTTGTGAGCACTGAGGCACGGCTTCTCTCTACTCGGAACTTTGCAACTGGAGCATTCACTCAATTACATTTGCTCCAAAGAAACAATTCCATTACAGAAATAATGAATTTATAAGGACCCGTTTAGATCGATGAATTGTGGCCACAGTCGCGGAATTGAATTTGCCCATTTCATTTTCAGGTGTTCAATGTCCCTTCGAGCCGTAATAACTGAAAAAAGCAATGAAATCTGACGTGAGACTTTGACAGTCTATCTTCAACCTCGGCACTGGTCATCACAGCCAGGTTACCAATGGTGTTTTCTAGGTCAGATAATAGATGAACGATTTTTTAAAGAAAATAAAGCTACAATAATGCGTTACACACAACAATTAATTTTCTGGCGCTAATATTATGCAATTTATTTTAGTAAGTTTGGATAGGCTCAATAACCTAGAAGAAGTGCCTACCCCATTGGTACTGGCCAATACAAGACCACCACTTTCTTCCCTTCCCACCATCAGAGTCTACGATCGTGCTATAAAAAAACTCGGGCTACGGTGTAGACATCCCGAGCTATTTTAGCTTATCAAGGTAGGTAGAGGATTTCTCACCCAGTCCGAGAAAATCATCGAGCTCCATGTCCATGAGAAAATTTTAGATTTGAAGAAGAGGAAACCTCCCCTAGATATTAAGTTATTTTTTTTTCCAAATTTTTGGATGCAACCCTTTGGTTTGAAAAAATTTTCTACCGTGCATTTTTTAAAAGTGGAATTTCTTTGAAATTTTGGAGTGAACTGTGTTCATATTGTTCTATTTTATTTATAGGTAGAGATAGAGAGGAAGGGACTGCCAATCTGCCAAAATTTCAAAGCCCAGGCCCACCGCCGTCAGAACGCTTGCACTCGCTCATTTCCCAACGCGCACGGCGCACCCCAACATGGCCGCTCCGACCGCCGCCGTCGACACCACCGCCCCGCCTCCTCCTCCGTCGGCAGAGCCCGCGGCTGCATCCGCACCGGATCAAGAGGTCTCTCCTCCTCCTCATGCTCCTCAGTCCGATGCGCCTGCGCCCGCAGTGGCCGCGCTCGAGCCCGCGCCAGCCCCGGCTCCTGCGCCCGTGCCCGTGCCCGCGCCAGCGCCGAGGAAGCGGAAGCTCGAGGAATCGGGGTTCCACACCTCCGAATACTACAAGATCCGTGCCGTCGTCGCCGACCTGCGTGTCCGCTTCGTCCAGGTTCACACTCAATATCTTTTATTTCTTTGTCTAAAAATCCCCCTAATTTTCACTAAGGCTAGTTGTGTACTCTTGTGGAAAAGGCAGAGTTGGTCACTTTAGCTAAAGCAAGGCTAGTTGTGTACTCTTGTGGAAAAGGCAGAGTTGGTCACTTTAGCTAAAGCTTCTGGAAATCTGGGGCTGGGGCAAAATCCACTAATCCAGGCTACATGATAATAGAACAATATTTTAGCGAATTCGAGTATCTTTCACCAGCTACTGCTATGCAGTGTAGTTTCTCGTGTTATGGAATACTGTAAATCTATTCTGAATTGTCGTATATCTTTTTTTGAAGGTTTACCAAGCTACTGATTTCTGCAACACGGATGCTGCTCGTGAGATTTTGAAAGGTATATAAATGAAACCTAATTTTCTGTCTTGTTAGGATGGCAATTGCCAGTTGAAGGGATTTGAGCCAAATCTTAGGTTTAGTACTGAAAATGAATAGCCTTTAGTGGATCCATGATCTAGAGCTCAGGCTTTGCATAACTTGACCCCGCTGTGTCCTTGGTGCTGATCCTCTCGCCATTGCTGGTGAGGTTGTTGCTATGGAGGCCATTGAGGTTGAAATGCAGCATAAATCGAGTCCCTTTGTTCAAGATCTCTGGGTGGTATAGGCGGGAAGCGAAGACTTAAAAGACAGCCATGAGAGTTGTCGGAATCTATGAGCAGTTGCTGACTGCTTACCAGTTTGGGCGGGACATTTGAAGAGAGTTTGAGTTGTTGGAGCAAAGAATTTAATGGCATAAGTAGAATTAGGGTGGGTGGGTGGGGGGAATGCAAGCATCTTTTAACTTTAACATGAGATGGGTCAGTGGTGCATGACTTCCAATCTTCCAATTAGAAAACGAAATAAATACTGAATGTTTAAAAATAAAATGGGTGCTGTTATATAAGAAGTATAGATCAGGAATAAATATTCCTTTTTTTTTATTATAAGTATTGTTTCTCTAGGCTAGCAGCTTAACAGCTTCACACCCTGAGCCAATGCCATTGAGCTTAGTAGTTCAGTCATAGTCCTGTATTTTCTCGTGTCTCATCTCTTTAGCCAGAACACTATGATCAACCCTAGTAAAGGTAAAATCTCCTAGCATCGTTTGTACTGATGTATAAGCTTGCCTTTTTTTGGACTGGTGAAAATCAGTGTTCATGTGGTTACGTGTCAAGAAAACGTTGGCTGTGCAATTAGAAATTGACGGTACCAACAACCCAAGATGGGCAACTTAGGGTTGATCCAGGAAAGCTAGAGTAAAAAGGCCTGATAAATATTGTCTTTTTAATACTTAGCATAAAAATAGAGCTGAGGACGTGAGGTGAAGGAGAGCTGTTTAGTCATGAACAATCTTAGCAATCATGAAGCGTGAATAGTAGACCCTATAAACTATAGTTTTGTGCAGGGAGTATCAGATTTGGTTCTTTGTACTGGTACAAGGCTTGGTATTGAAGCCACACACTAGGGAAGTTTGGAACCAATTTTTTTTCTAGAATCACTGCTAGGCAATGAACTAGTTGCAGAGGGAAATACACCAATGCGGCTACTTGTAATCTTAGTGTTTCATATTATGTAAACAGTCGATGCATTGCACTCTTCGCTTCATTTGGCTAGTTGTATACACAATGGTGTCGTAGGAGATTTTTGTTAATCAATTTTGTTGTGAGTCACTTTCTTCTGTTAATTTGTTGCTAGCGCATTCTAAGTTTGATGTAGCCGCTGCCTTCTGTAACAGCATTGCATCAAATGATGTAACCCATTCACATCTCTACTTTCTTATGACTTCACTTTCATAACTTTCCATATGACATACAAAATCTTGCATGCAAACACATGATTTACACACATTGTACATCCTTCTTCCCTTTTTTTTTTACTAGTAAAAAAATAAAATAAAAATTTATAGGTGTCACTAGAAAAATCAATTATGTGTTTTATCCTTTTAAATGGTCAGCATTGTTTCAAATATATTCTCCACAGAACTGCTAAGCATATGATAGATGTTCTTTACCTATATTTTCAGTAGGTAATTTCTTTATCACTCAATTTAGTAATGATGTTTGTCGAACTTTGTAAGAGCAACTCCAAGAGATGGGCTATTTGTACTGTCTAATCTAAATTTAGATATTTTGGTAAGATATAGAGGTCCAACAGTCGTTCTATCCAGCGATCTAAAATAGCAAGCGCTCTATCCCGTGCTCCTCGCTAGCTAGAAATAGCACACCGCAGCGGCTTGCCATCCGCCTCCCCGGACCTATTCCCGCGCGGTGCCCGTGTCCTCCCACGTGCGTGGATCATTTTTCTCGCGAGTTCCTGCCGTGCACCCGCGCTCCAATAGCTCGCCACCATGCTGCTGGGAAACAAGATGATCTCACTCTGCACTTGATTTCGTGGAATCCGATCTCGCACCCCTGTCGCGGCACTTGTGCTGCTGCTGCTGCTGCTGCTGCTGCTGCTGCTGCTGGGAACAAGCTGCTGCTGCCGCCCCCACCGCGCTTGATCTCGCCGGCCCCATCTCGACACTTTGTGCTGCTGCTGCCGCTATTATGGCAAAATTAATGGAGCTCGGTGGGGAAGTGACGAGAAGCGAGGAGTAGAGATGGCAGCCGCTGGTAACTGAAAGGATAATGAGCGATCTAATCCGATGACGTGTAGTAGTTTTAAAAAATAGAGGACCGAAAATTTAGACAGGCTGTTGGGTTACTCTAGTTTTTTGGTGGGTATTTTATTTTAGACAATGGCTAAATTATGGATTTTAGTATCTAATTTTACATGATCTCTTGGAGTTGCTCTAATTCATTGTGAAAATAAGCAACCTGAAGTCATATGTTCAGTTCAATATGTACTATGTACATTTGTCTGTTGACATGGCTTGATCTTATACACATATGCTTGTCATGTGTTTTAGAAATAAATGTTGTCATGGATCTATCCAAGAAAATGAGGCTCAAGCTTGGTGCTACTTCTGAGCCTGTGAAACCATTGGAGAAACCTTCAGCTGGATTTGTGAAGGATGAGCTTGTGAAACCAGCAGAGAAGCCTTCAGCTGGACCTGAGACCGCAGAGCCTGTGAAGCCACCAGAGAAGCCTTCAGCTGGACCTGTGACCGCAGAGCCTGTGAAGCCACTAGAGAAGCCTTCAGCTGGACCTGTGAAAAATGAACCCACTGTACCAGCTCCAGCTGGAGAAAACAATCAAGCTCACGGGGTAAGCCAGACTACAATTTCTCCAAATAATGCAGGTGTTGATACACCAGTCAAGCATGATAACTCGGAGGCGCAGAAGTGAAGACGATAGAGGAAACCCAAAGCACGATCCATTGAGATGGCATATCATGCAAATCTGCTTGACAAAAATGCAGAGTGACCGGTTGATCCCCTAAGGGGCTCAGATTTTCTTGCCTCTCCTGGAGGTAAAATTGTTTGCTTTGGGCTAAAGCTAATCGACGAAGAGTGGTGGGCATATCAAGATCCAAATTAGATTGTGTTCAGTTGTTCACATTCATTCATTCTGTACTGTGTTGCTAATTGCCCATGGATAATTTAATCTTCAAATAGTTACTCTGTAACTGGATCATACTATACATCACATTGCCCTATTGTATGAAGTATTAGCCAGTCAATTTCAAGTCGTGCTTGAGAAGAGGCGATGGAACTGCAAGCAGGGTGTTCAGTGTCTCATCAGGATTTTATCCGTATCACTTAGGTCCCGTTTGGCACGGCTCCACTTCATCCATGAAGCTCTTTTTTTGGGCTTCAGCTCTAAGAACAGCTCTATGGTAGGAGTTGTAGCCGTTTTGATAAATCGTTTGGCAAAATAGCTTCACGTATAGTTTTTCTTAAAATATGCTCTCAGAGAACGCCATGTAGAATGAGGTGAAGCCGAGAGAAGCCACTATTTTTGGCTCTTTCCCACCCCAAAGTTATGTGAGAACACGTTTTTAGAGGCTTCATCGATGGAGCCGTTTTATTTTATCCCGTTTGGCAGAAAACGGCTCCAAACGGCTCCTGAAGCCGCTAGAGAAGTCCTGCCAAACGGGGCCTTATTATGTCTTATAGCAGGGTGTTCTTGCATAATCTGCAGTTTATGGTCCAAACTAAAGTGTGCAGTGTTTTTTAATTTCTGGATTTACTTTGAACTCTTCTCCAAGGATTTCTTGAGGTTTCGCGCCTCGACCGGAGAGCACGCAACTAGTGCCAGCATGCACGGCATGAGCTATGAATGGCCGTGAGTTTCCTATGCATATTACACCTTTCCTCCTAAACATAGGGCTTTTGAAACTTTCCAAAACGAATTTCCAACGATGCCCCACACGCCGCCGGGTTTCACGCTAACGACATCGAATCCGTTATTATTTTCCCAATTAATAAAAACCATCAGGAACTCAGGATAAGTTCGGGAGACAGACAGATCCATCCGATCTCGCCACCCAGCCAGCTTTGATTTGATGATCACAATATCCGCGACTTCCCACAAACCACGGATCCGATCCGCGACTTCCTCCTTCCAAACAATCTCCGGTGTCTCCAAACCATGGCGCTAGGCTACCCATGAATCACCGGCCGCCTCGGACTCCGGGCTCCAGACGCGTCCGTCCACGCGCGCGCGTCGTCATGTGGCGCTGGTGGGAGCTACAAAGACGCGACGCGCCCGAGGGCAAGCTGGGCAGGGGGCGCGCAGTTTGCGCCGCGCCGTGCCTTCCGCGGGCGTCCCTGCTCGTGATCCCCGCACACGCGCGCCCGTCTCTAGCAGCCGCCGCGCAAGGGGGCTGTCAGGGGACGAGCAGGCGGATCGATCCGCTTATAGCACCCCCGGGCGGGCGGGGGGAGAAACGGAGATGAGAGAGGCCGCGGAAGGAGAAGGAGGAGGGCTCACGCGCGTGGAAGACGCGGCCGGCTATATATACCAGGAGGGCTCGCACCTCCGCCCACCCACGCGCGCACCCTCGTTGTTTTCCCCCAGATCGACGAACCCACGAAGCCGCGGGCTGCATCGTGCCATCGTCGACTTCGTAACAAGATCTTTGCACGGCGCGCCGGCATTACGATCTCGTGATCGTGAGGTGAGTCGCCTTTCCATGCTCCGATTCCGCCGTGAAAAGTTGCCCCCGCCGCCGGTTCACCAGCCCACGTACGGCGCCGTTCGCCAGGCATTGTTAGGGCTAGAGATTTCCGCCGAGATAGTTTTGTTTTCGAACAATTAACCTTTTTTTTAACATAACAATTAACCTTTTCTTTGCATATTCTTCTGTGCAAACTAAAATTGTTATGCAGTATCTTTTTTACCAAAAAAAGATTGATTTTGATCTGTTCTCGAACTCTTTGCTTCCTTCGTACATCTTCTCGTGTGCCATTGAAATCATTGATCGATTTTGTTGATCTGAATTCTTACAACAAGTTTGGTCTCAATTTATTCTAGGCATTCTTCTGAAGTTAGTACGCTCAGTTGGATTGTGAACAGATGGCGAGCAAGTTCGACAACCAAAACAATGTAAGTTAAGATATATCACTTGGGTAAATAATTTCAAGCACGATTCGTTTCAAAAAAATCACGATTGTATCATGTTGTTCATCGCGAAGATTATTGTAAATAAGAGCAGGTGCCACCATTACATCTCATATTTAGCAATTGAACGGATTGCATCGTTTCTAATCTTCCAACGGATGCTGCCAGGAGCAACTCGTGGACGAATATTGTGACCAAGATGAGGACGGCCTAGGTGACTTCATTGTGTATAGCGACGACGACGAGGAGTCATTGAAGCAAAAGCAGAACCAGCAGGAGTTGGATGATGAGCACCAGCAGGAGTTGGATGATGAGGTGGGAGAGGAAGAGGATGATGAGCACCAGCAGCAGCAGGAGTTGGATGATGAGGTGGAAGAGGAAGAGGAAGAAGAGGAAGAGGTTGAGGAGGAAGAAGAGGAGGCACCAGTTGGGCAGCAAGAGATCCTTAGCCTGAGGGAGCAGTTAAAGGAGGAAATCAGGAGGAAAAACGCGGCAATGGCTGCCGGCGCTCGCAAACCTAATTTACCATTGTCATCCAAGAACCAGACGATGCCACCCGTTAAGGACGGGTAAGATTTCTATGCTCTTGCTGACGTGCTATAGTCTTATTTGGTTCTGATTTTAGTTCCAGTTGTTAATAGCAAAACTTTTGTAGATACGGCACCTTCTTTGGGCCATCAAAGCCAGTGCTTGCTCGCCGAGTCATCGAAGAAGGGTGTTCAACGATCATGAAAGATCTACAGAATGTACCCTCCAAAGTATGTGTTAACACTTCTATATGTGTTTTGGTTTTTTTTGTAACATTGAACTTTGCATTCATCGTATGATCATATTTCGTGCAGAAAGATGTTTCCTTGGCTTCGAAGATGCGACAAGGCGCAGTTGAGAAAATGCAGAAACTGAAGTTTGTTAGTGAGGTAATAACAAGAAATTAACACCTGACCATGCTATTTACTGTATGGTGCTCTGGAGCCAATTGATTTATAAACTTGTTACAATACGCAGGAGAAGAGAAAGGTTGATACACTTCGAAAGAATCGAGATTACTCATGTCTGTTCTCAGATGACGCTGATACTCAACCCCCTACTAAAGATCATCCTGACAGTAGTAGGGCCCTTCTTCTTGTTCCGAAATCTGGTATGGACACTACTTTTTTGTTGAACAAAATATACTTATTTCCCTTTGCTGTAAATGTAATGAACAAAATACTTACATACTTGATGTGTAGAGACTCAAGATGCTGGGCAGGTGAATTCTGCCAGGAAAAGCAGAGTGTTCACAGGCCAACCTGCCACATTATCATCAACAGACCATGGATTGAAGAAGGGTTCTGGGTCTCTGGGAAAGAAGGCTCATGCAGAAAGAAAAAGCGCTATAGCTGCTGGTAGAAACGGGTCCAACCTGCCTAACTTGAAGAAGAAATCTCCAGGGCTGCTATCATCCTCGAAAGGCCAAGAGCTGCAGCCGTCACTCCATAACAAGAGGCCGCAGGCGTCGATTCCAGGACAGAAGCTGCGGCAGCAGCCGCAGAGTCAGAGGCCGCAAGGCAATGGCCGTCAGCCACCGTTGCAAGGTCGAAGTCTACAAGGTCAGCTTATTGGACAGAATAGATCGGCTGCGCAAAATGGGAGATTGAAATCAGCACAAAAGCAGCTCATTCCTTCCTCAAAATTCAAGGTAACAAATCGTCCACTGCACAAAAAGCATTGTTTTTCTCTTATTATTACAGGACACCAATTAACAAGGACTTTTTGTTTTTTCGACGTTGAGCATTTGCAGGCATCTCATGGAGTAGAAAAGCATATAGTAAAAAGAAGGAAATCCAATGATGACAGACAAATAATGCATAAGTACGATTCTCATTATTGTTCTTGGTATTATTACTGTATTTGTATCAGTGCTCTTGCGTTTGCATTCACATGGGTTCCGGGCATACTACTACCTCCGTAGGGTTTTAGTAGGCATATTAGAATTTCACAAAAAAACGTTTAAAGGGAATACTTTGACCACAAATTCTCACAATATATCATTATTTGCTACCATAATATTAACGTTGTTAAAAATATTATTATATGGATTTATTTATACACCTTTTATAAACACAAAACAAAACATGCTTATATTTTGACTAAATTGATGGTCTCATGAAGTTTAGTATTTTTGTGAAGTACTAATACGTCTACTAAGAGTTAACAGAGGGGAACGCTATGTTATGTGCCACATGCCGGTGCATACTGTTCTAGATCCTGCACTCCTGGTTCTAAAAATTGTTACATCACTACATCTAGGGGCCGTAGATTGTTTTTGAACTGTGGGGTCGTAGATTGTACAGTTAAGTTTGTACTTACTTTGATTTGGTGTTTGACTTTATGTGCTCAGATATGACGAATTTGCTATCAGCGATGAAGACGAGAGTGATATGGAAGCTGATTTTGCTAGCATACAAAGGGAAGAGAGAAGAAGGTAAACTTTCAGCTCCATTCACACGTGAATACCCTTTTTTTGTCTGAGGTTGCTTAAGTCAAATCTTAGAAATATATATGGACGTAATCATCCACCAAATTAATGGTTTCCAACCTACAATAGATAGCCTCTTTTAACAAGATATAAAAAATGGTTCCTTCAACCAAACATTTTAGAACGTGCGCTTTTGTACCAAGTTATTTTTAATTTGCTGAATGTGTACTGATTAAATCTTATGCATTGGTCGTTCAGCGCGGCACTTGCAAGGAAAGAGGACCAGGAGCAGCTCCGGTTGATCAAGGAAGAAGAGAGGCGCGAACGCGCAATGAAGAGGAAAAGGGCAGCACAAAAGGAATAATAAGCGGTTAGGGCAGAACAGCCTTCCAAGTGTGACAGTAGAAGTTAGTTAGAAGCTAGCGGCCAGTTCTTGAAATCCAGTATTATACAGGGAACGGTTTGGCCAAAGGGTTAGGTTATTGATATGGTAATCTATCATCATGTAAATCTACGTACGCAGGCATGCAGCAAGTAAGACCCCAGTTTCGAAGCTAATCTAAGGCCTATGTAGGAGAACTCAGTTCCAAGCCTATATCGCTTTTTTTTTTATGAAACAAAGCTACATATGAAAAAAAATGGCCAATAAGGCCTATGTAAGAGACCTCAGTTCCAAAGCCTATATCGATTTTTTATGAAAAGTTACATATGAAAAAATTGTATGGAAGTTAGCTAGGTGAGGACAACGTATATGGATGAAGTAGTAGGCCAGACCGACGACTCTAAATAAATATACGTGGCCAACTGCTCCTGCTGTTCTGAAATATAAGGTATTGTGGTATTTAAAATTTGTTTTAAATCATAAAATATTCTATGTGAATTAACTCTACAAAAGTTTCATCCTGTCATTAGTACCACCAGGACCAAGCTTAAATGGTAAGCACAGAGTCCCTCTATAGTTAAAAAAGCTCAACTATCGTTTATGAAAAAAAAACCCTCCTATAGGGATTTTTTTTAAACACTTTTTAAAACTAATTTTAAATCTAACACTGTTTTTTTTCTTCCAAAACTAACACTTTTGGCCGCGCCTATTGCCATGGCGCGGCGAAACGCCTGTGCCGCGCCATGCATGGCGGCGCGGCGGGAGGATGACGTGGCGTCATCGTGGCAGCGCCTGCCGCGCCACGCCATCGCTGGTGGCGCAGCAAGGCCCAATTAAAGCCCGTGACGCCCGCCCTCGCCCTCGAACGCCGCCTGCGCCCCTGCCCGCCCAGCGCTGCCGCGTCGCCTACACCAGGCACCTGTAGGGGATCGTGACGCCTAAGAGAGGGGTGAATTAGGCAACTTAAAATTCTAACTCTAAACTATGGCCTCTTTTTCTAACCTTAGCAAAACCTATGCAATAGATAAACTATCTAAATGTGTAACTACAGTTTTGCTAGTGTGTTGCTATCTCTACCGCAATAAGAGTAATACAATCAATATAAATGCGGAAGCTAAAGAACAAGGTAGAGATATGCAAACTCCCATCGACGACTCCGGTATTTTTACCGAGGTATCGAGAAGCACGCAAGCTTCCCCTAGTCCTCGTTGGAGCCCCTCGCAAGGAATCCCTCGCTAGGGCCAAGCTCCCGGTCGGGTAACTCCGTGGATAGCCTCGGGCCTTCCCCACGCGCAAGTGGGTCTCCGACGTGCCTTCGGCAAGCCTCTCCTGGATGCTCCCCGCCGTCTTCACTATCAAGCTTCCGGCCGAAATGCCGCGGGCCTTGTTCCCTTCGGTACACGGTGGCAGCCACATCATAAACGTGGTTGGTGTGATCTCGCAAGACTACAAGCCCCTCCGATGTACAACAATGGTGTGCGCAAGCACCGAGTGGTAAGATGTATGCAAACCTCACTAAACACTAGGCCTAAACCTAGAGCAAGCGCATAAGCGGTGGTCTAATCAACCTAAGCACTTCGCAAAGCACCTACGCTAATCACCTAATCAAACACTAAGAACTATGTATGTAGAGATCACTCAAATGGTGTACCAACACCCTAGATATGTTTGCTTAGCTCCACTCCCTTCATTTGGCTGGTTGGGGGGGGTCTATTTATAAGCCCCACTAAGAAAGCAGTTGTTGGGACAAAATCCCGCTTTTCTGCTACTGACCGGACGCTGATCATGTCCTGACCGACGCGTCCGGTTGTCCCGATCGTTAGAGCTGCGATCAACTGATCGGATGCTGGCAGCGTCCGGTCGCAATTTCGCCGCTCTAGAACCTTTCTGTACTCGATCAGACACTGTAGTTCTGCGTCCGGTAGTTTTGCCGCCAGTGTCCGGTCTAGCGTTCGGTCGCTGCTGCTGACGCCTGCTGTTGCCGAGCCTCTTGATCAGAGCATCCGGTCACTTTTCGCCCGCGTCCGGTCCAGTGTCCGGTCACCTCTGTGAGCTCGTTTCTTTGCGATCTTGTGTACGTCTTGGTTTCTATCTTCGTGCTTGGACTTTGCTTGATATCTTGGGTCTTCTCTTGAGCTCCTGGGGTCTTGTTTATGGCGTTGATCATTGGATCATCACGTTGCCTTCATCCAAGTCATGTTTTACACCCTATTGAACTACAAAATAATCACTTGCAAATTCATTAGTCCAACTTGGTTGTGTTGGTCATCAAACACCAAAATCCAAAGTAAATGGGCCTTGGGTCCATTTTCCTTACAGCGCTGCCACCGTCTGCCAGCACCACCGCCTCGCCTGCACCAGGCGCCGCCTCCTCGCCTACGCCAGCCGCCGCCGCCTCGCCTACCAGCGCCACCTCCTCTCCTTCGGCTCATATCAAGGTAGCTCCCTCTCTCGATTTCTTGTTATTATGAATGTTATTTTAGTTAGGGTTAGTGATTTAGGATAGTTAGGGTTAGTGATTTAGTATAGTTAGGTTAGTGAATTTGTTTATTTAGGTAGGTAGTTTTAGGGTTTAGGTTGTGTGTTGTAGTATAGTTAAGGTTTGGTTAGGTAGTTAGGGTTTAGGTTACTGTTAGTTAGGCCTTTGGGTTTAGGGATTGATTAGGTATTTATTATTTAGTTAGTTTATAGTAGTAAAGGTTGTCAGTATAGATACTAGTTTTCAAGTGTCGGTACTTAGTAGTGCGTGATATGACGATTTGGAATGGTTTGATGAACCTCCTAGCTTCAATGACGTTTGTGTCCGTTTGAATACATAGAAGTTGCTTATTTTCCTAGTGAAGTTGTTTAATATGTCTGTTAATGTTACTTTGAATATATACATGTGCTTTCATATTATGTTCCTATTGCATAACAAGTAGTTCAAATTTTGCAATGCTACATAATGTTAATTTGAATATTGTTAATTTGAATACTCTAACCCTTTGTTTATCAATTTGTAACAGGATGGCCCCTCCCACGCAGCACCCGTTGTACCCCCTTCTTGAGGTGGAGTACGTCGAGCCACACCGAGCACACTTCTTGAGTGACACCGACGCAGAGGTGTCCTTGACTCCTGTTACGGACTAGGGACCGGAGAGCGTAAGAATGCGAGGTGGGAGGTTGAGGCTTGAAGGTCCGGTGACGAACAGGCGGAGCCGTCGTCAATAGATGGGTTTGGACGGGGAAGAGGAGTCACCAGAAAGCAAAGGGAGATTAAATCTCAACCCTGGCTTATCTCTTTCATTAAAGATTTGCAGTACTTATACAACCCAATCCTAACAAACTCAATAACAACTCAAACCAAATATCTTTCCTAAACTCTAGGACTCTAATAACTAACTGGCAGCAGCTCGGCTGCGCCCTGGTGACCACGCACTGGCCCTTGGCCGACTCAGTCATGGTGCCTGCACTGGTACACATTGCCCATCATGACATCTCTTCCCTCCTTGGAAAATAGCTCGTCCTCGAGCTGAAATGATGGAAAGCGAGCGCGGAAGTCGTCGATGGCCTCCCAAGTCGCGTCGTCTTTAGGTAGCCCTTCCCACTAGATAAGCACGTGCCAGACACCGTGACGAAGCTGACCCTAGAGCGCCCGAGCAGGTCGGTGAAGAACTCTGCCATTGTGCATAGGTGGCAGAGCAGGTGTCGCTGTCGGAGGACCCTAGAATGGCTTCAAGACGCCCACATGGAATACATCATGGATGCGGGCGCCTTCAGGCAGCCGGAGGCGATAAGCTGCTGCACCCACGCGCTCCACCACTTGAAAGGGTCTAGCAAAACACGGACTGAGCTTGCCGTGGAAACCCGAATGAGCGACTGTGCTGGCCGATGAAGGATGCGGAGCATCACCCAATCGTCGACCTAAAACTCCAGTGGCCGGTGATGTGCATCATAATGTTTCTTGGCATACTCCTAGGCCTACAACAGATGGTCGCGCACCTCTGCCAGGAACTCATCGTGGTCGCGCAAGTGGTCATCCACAATCTCCGTGCGTGCAGTCCTTGTTGTATATGGCAGCAGTGCCGGTGGAGGTCTACCATACACGACTTGAAATGGTGTTGTCCCCAGTGAAGTATGGTAAGAAGTGTTGTAACAAAATTCCACCCAAGGAAGCCAATCCAGCCATGAACGAGGGCGATCACCACTGAAGCAGCGAAGATACATCGCAATAGTGTGGTTGACAACTTTAGATTGCCCATCGGTTTGTGGATGGAAGGTGGTGCTCATCCACAATTTGACCCCTGCTAACCTGAAGAGATCACGCTAGACATTCCCAGTGAATACCGGATCACGATCACTGACAATCGAAGATGGAAATCCATGCAGACGAACAATGCCCTCGAAAAAAGCCTTGGCCACCGAGGCTACTGTGTACGGGTGACTGAGAGCAAGAAATGAGCTAGCTTCGAGAAGCGATCAACCACGGTCAAAATAACACTCTTGCCATGGACACGGGGCAAACCTTCGACAAAATCCATTGCAATGCTGGACCACACTTGAGTAGGCACATCGAGGGGCTGCAATAATCCTGCTGGATGCAAGTGTTGAGTCTTGTTACACTGGCAAGTGACACAGGAATTGATGAAGTCACGCACCAAGCGACGGCCATGATCCACCACAAAATCCTAACGAAGGCGATGCAAAGTTTTCTGAATGCCTTCATGTCCTGCCGTGTGAGCCAGCTCAATCACCGTGGGCAGTGCAGCAGATGTGGGTGGCACATAGACGCGTGAGCCATGCATGATGAGGCCATCGGTGATGTGCCATGGCTCCCCACGGTCTGCCACCACGGAGTCACGAAGGGCGCGGAGCGTGGTGTCCTGCTGGAGTTCCTGACGCAATTCGTCGAAGAGTCAGAAAGACGGCCTAGAGAGAGCGTTGAGGTGGGCAAGCTGACTCTCACTGTCCCTCTTTTTGGACAGGGCATCCGCCACCACATT